CCTAGAAGACTAGAGTAGTCTTATTAGGAGTTTTATTCCAATGCTCTGGTGTTTCCTTTGCCTAGCTGCAGTCCGTTTCTACAGAGAGTCCTATATTGCCAGGATATTAATTTAAGGTGATCAGCAAGAAGCTCCAGGTCCTCCCGGATAACCTTTAGAAGCCGTTCTCAGTCTCGTCTAGAAGGCGGTATACATTTATATTATTGTCCTTTTCACTTTGTCACTGAGGGCATTAGAAGGAAATTGAGAAGCTTCGCAACTCCTTGGAAGCTATACTGTGAATTTTTATGACGCAGTCCTAATTCACTTAATAGAATTTTACGAGTCTTACAGCCTATTTCCACCAAAGGCTTAACTGCCGTTAAGAGCTCAGGTAAGTTCCAAGAACTTAAAAATGGGGTGCTCGGCAAGGTTTATCTCTTAATTTTTGCTTTTCTCCTTTAGTTTGCTTGTACTTAATAGGTGGAATTACCCCATTCGAGTTGTAGTCTCCTTTTTCCAACAGGCAAAAATTGTAGTTAAGGCTTGGTGAAAATCAATTATTAGATATGTTCCCATTGGCAGACTTTTCTGTCGGATTGCACTTGCCCCAGAACTATTACAACCGAGGCTTGATCCCTTTGACCAAAAGGGATATACCAGAAATAGTCAGGAAAGCCGTTTGAGGTTGGCGTAGAGTCGCAAGACCAAGCCCCATAAACAGCGACTGCTACGTAAGTACAATAAATTGTAGGTCGCGTTGATGGTATTTTAGGCCCACAGCTGTCAAATCTCTGAATCAACGCAAGCGTCCAAAGATGTTGTAAAGCTCCTGCTATATTTTATCGAGATCCTTGAAAAATGCCGGAGGTATTTTGGATATCAAACGATTAAGCTCTCTCTTCGGAACAGCTCTGCCCGAGTAGTTAGTTACTGGAATGCCTTCGCAATTTGGAAAGAAGGTTATCCGAAGTCTTCCCATGGTAGACACAACTTTGAGGAGTACCAATTTTATGCCGTACGGCGTCGTAAAAGTTATGACGCTTCAACAAGTGTTTCCATACCCACCGGCCCTTTTTGAAATCGTTTTTTTTTTTAATTTCTTCGCAACCGTACTGACGACGTTCCATAACTAGAAATGATTTTGTCGAGCCCTTCAGTTTTCTTCGACAGACCTAAACCGACTTTTATATTTCAACAAAAACTTTTGTATGTGGTCAACCTGGAGGGGAAATTTGCGCGCTCCTTCAGAGTAAGAGTTATTTTTGAAGCAATCAGGATAAAGTTTGCCTGACAAATTAAAAAGGTGGTGCTGGCTCAGGTCCTCCTCCTCTCCAAACTTTCTTTGTTCCACATTGAGCCGAATATTTTTCATCTTAGCCCGATAAAAGTCGTAGAAGTACTGAGGACATGTTGCGTTTAGTCATCTTGATGCTGACAGAAGAAATATTTATATGGACTTGCCAACGACGTTTATGGAAGCCATATATTGCCCTCGTTAAATTTTGTCCCATTGTGAATCTTGCAACGTATCGCTACTTTAGAAGAAAACACTTTTTTCTAATTCTGCAGGCATTCATGCTTGGCATTTCCGCCAGTCTCTCGGTCCAGTACATACATGAATTATTAACCTCCTCCTAGTTTTAGCGGCGTCTTAAAAGTGCATGCAAATGATTTCTTCCAATTGTGCATATATGAGCTTATTAAGGTACGAGTACACAGCCACATTGTAGGATGCTTACGGGTGTGCTTACGGTAAATGCATGCATAATACCTATAATTTGCGCAACAAAGTGTCAAACCAACTCTGCAGCCGAAAGAAAAGCTTTGTTCTGGCTGCTTTGTATTGAAAGAACGCAAAGGACCTACTCGAAGGCGAAAAAAAAAAACATAGTCGCAAGCGCCAGCAAAGACATACCGCTGCGTTCGACGGTCGGTGCTTGAGGGGTTAATTTGCCTATGCATTACTGCTGAATGCACAAACACACACACATACATCCAAATATTTATGAAATTTACTTACTTACCTGTTCAGCCGCCGAAAAGCAGTCGGTCGCAATTTGCTTTACTTTATTTGGCCGCGCCCGCTCGAGCTGTGCTCGCCGATAAGTGGCCGCATAATTTTCCTTTCAGCAATCTTTATCAATCTTTTTGTTGTTGCATTGTTGCTGGCTGCCTTGCCATTGTTACATTTAAGTGGCAATTCAAAGTTCATTAAAGACTCAATTTCAAGTGTTGCAAGTAGGCGATGCACAAAAGGTAGAATAGTATAGTATAGAACAATGCCACGACGCAACGTCTCGAAATGGTTTTCTTAGGATATGCGAAGTTTTGTGTGTTTTTCTTTTTGGTTACGGCGAATGCACCGTAATTAGGGCGGGTAATGTTAAATTATCGCCTGCGGCGAACGACGATCGCACACTCGGTTGTGGGTTTTCAAGTGCCAGGCGTATTTTTTCACACATTAGACGCCACATTATCCGTGTTTAGTTTGCGTGTTTTTTTTCTTTCTTGGTATGCTTCCCGCTGAGTTGAGTTCTTTTGTCGATGCTTGGCTGAGACGTATTTTCATATATGGGAATATTTATGTGACAAAATTTATGAGTGGCAAGATAAGTTTGCTTAAGGAAGTTGTGAAGGAGATTGTAGACAGCGATTATGTTTTTATCGATAATAATATTTAGCTGGCTATTTCGTTTGAGGGCAGAGAAATTAAATTTGCAATATAGTGGTAATTTTTCAGGCCGTTAGCCGACCCGCACTCCTGAAAGAAGCAGGGGACAAAAGTTTCCAATGGGTAAGAAGAAGAATCTCGTCGGTGTATCCTTCTCTTAAAAAAATAGGAATGAGCACGAAAAGGGTGCTTCAATCTATTTGTTTCCGGCTATGGACTACTTCACGAACCTTGGTATACTGGAGTCCAAGTAAACGGGCTGAGCCAGTAAGGTAGGTTAGGGAGTTTATGATTGGGTGAGAGGTTATCCTCAAGCCTCCTTTCTGTTTGTGGGAAATATAAATCACACTCCTTACTCACACTTACTCCTTTTATTTCGAGCGATATTGCTGATGTATCTGCTTACTTTCCTGGTGTCTTATTCACCATACCACCAACGGAAGTTCAGTAGCTCGTGGAATTTTGTCGCTATATGCCAATAGCCCAATGAGCTGTGGAGCAGCACCAACATTAAAGGAAGGGGTGAGTACCTTTTAGATTACCTTATGCAAAATGCATAGATTTCGCAAAGCCGCTTTTCAAAGAAGAGGTACTGGAATGGACACTTTGTAGCAGGTCGATTACTGAATTTATTAGACATTGGAAAGTTTTTGATAAAGCATGGCTCTTGTATCATCAACATATAAAGCTCGAGAAACCCAGGACGATCAGAGCTTCGCAAATTGACCTTCTCGCACATGAGATTAAATAGGTACCTTTTCAAAAATCTAGGGAAGACTAGAGCAGACTCGCTTTCAACTTCCATAGACTCACACGACGAACGGGAGGTCGCAACGAGCTTGCTCAACGTTATGCTGCTGGAATCCTTCCACGATAGCACAACTCAGGTTTAAGCCTTAAACTTTAACATAATAGTCTGTCAAACATGAAAACGTCTTTTTGAATACAGGTTATATTATAATCAAACCAACATCTGGAGTCTGCGAATTTGACTATGAATGAATAAATTGCTATTGCCACTTAAGAAATTCTGATCTCGTGTTCTTCCCTGAGTAACATTTTGTAGGAACACCAGGTAGTGATGTTATAGGTGATTTGAGAAGCATGTTCCAAATACGTATTTAATTTCTTTTGGACGCCCTGCATTCACAAGCTCAAAAATGGATTTAAAGATCCACTCACCCAGCTTTTAATTAAAGAGGTACTGTAGAGAAAACGACGGGTTTAGGAAAAAAGACGAATCTATTCAACACTTCTGTTATGTAGTTCCTCAATTATATACATATTTCTTTGGGAGTTTCATTAGCAGTGCACGAATAGCAATAACGCGACTGAAAAACAACAAAGCTGCTGGAGCTGACAGCCCTACGACTGGAATTTAAGTGCGCTCTGTCCATTCCACAAGAAAGGCGACCCCGCCATACGCGCCAACTACCGCGGGATCAGCCTTCTAAGCATTGGCTACAAGGTATTATCGAGTTTATTGTGTGGAAGACTGAAGCCCACCGCCAACGAACTGGGATATTGGAAAAGACCCGCGAGAATAGGATCGACACCGTCTATTTGTCGATTTCAAAGCCGCTCTCGACAGCACGAAGAGAAGGTGCCTATACGCCGCGATGTCTGAACTTGGCATCCCCTCGAAACGAATGGGACGCTCCAGCTCTGAAAGTATTCAACTCGGAACCCGCTGGTGCTAGCAGAGGAAAAACCAAATGGAGAAAGACTTGGCTTCACTTGGTATTTCCAATTCTGACGTCAATTGGACGATAATTGGCACAGAAGAGAAACGACTGACGTGCTTTTTTGAACTCGCTTAGCCGGTTACAGCGCCAAATAAGAAGAAGAAGAAGAGAAGTAAACACTTTAGTCTGAGTAATAAGTTGCTTGCCTCTCTAAAAAAAATTGTATTTTTAAATAGTTTTTAAATAATGATGTTTGGTAAAACTCCGTTATCCTGTGAAGAAAAGAAAATAAGAGCAACAGTTTTATTTTGCAAACTTTTGTAGACTTTTCACGAAAGAAGCAACACTCTTTCTCCACTTTCAGCATGACAACCACGATGACGTTTGTACGCCAGTCTCCAGCGCAAATATCCTTGTACACTTCGCATGTTGGCAGCACTGCTCCGAAAATAACGGTAAATTCGGAGAAAAGTTTTCACCACAGCGAGACAGTTAGTCCGAATAGCATAACACATTGGCATCCTGCCTGCTGCCGAGCAAGAGCGAGAGAAAGTGCGAGGTGAAAGTAAGCTGATACCACGCGCCACGCTCGCGAGATGCGCTCGCCAGCCCCAATAAGCGTCGACAGTTGAACATTGGCTGGGCCGTGTGCCGAGCGCAAACACCTGACATTATCCGTTGTGACGACGACGCAGCCAGACGTGCCGTGCCGAGTTGGAGCCGTGAAGTAGCAGTTAGACGCTGAAGACGAACGAAAAGCGCTTTGGGGGTAAAAGCAAACGCGATGCAGATAAAAGTAAAGTGAAAAAAAGCTGACGAATGGCGAACGATAAAGTGTAGACAATAATAGGCGTAGAACGAAGAGGAAAGCGAGAAGTTGAAGTCAAAAGGAGAGAAGAAGAACAAAGTGATTGTGAACAGAGAGAGAGAATTAAAGAACAAAATTGAATTGTGGCTGGTTGGCAGCTGAAGCGAGTCTATCGAGCGTAAGGTAATAAATTTGGAGGCGTGGTCGCAAAAAAGAAAAGAAAATCGAATTGTGATTTGTGTGGAAATAGAAAAGTGCGAATTGTGACCGCTTTTTGACAGTGAAAATTTTGGACTAAAGATTGTATAAATTAATTTGTTCACATTGTTTTAAAGTGTCTGACAGTAGTGCGAAATAATAACAATGTAGGAAAATGCATAAGTACATATAAATACTAGGCAAACGCATACATACACACAGCTCACTTTTACACACACACACGCACACAAAAGCGTAGCGTTGAAGTTCAGACTTGCGGGCAGCAGTGCAAGCTCACCACCACACCAATCTGGCGAATTCAACACACTGCCGGGCGCGCTCGTACTCGCCGCTCGGCTGTAATGGCATTCGCTGCTCGTTGAGCGAGTGGAAGCTCTCAGCCGCGCACGAGTGACACAGACTGCCAACGTGCGGCAGGAGCTGCCGACGTCTTGGGCGCTTTGATATTCCTTTGCTGTCGCTGCTGCTTCTGCTGCTACAGTAGCGGCGAAAGTTGCAACGGTAGCTGCTTGTGCTTTTCGCCCTTTCGGCTCGTTGTATCCGCCATTCGCCGCTTTTCTTGTACTTTTCGCTTTCGTCACTGCCGTTGAAATCGTCGTTGTTGTCGCTGTCGTCGTCCTCGGCTTTGTAGACTTATTGATTGAGATACAAGTCGCTGGGAAGTTGTTGAGTTGACAAAAAGCCACCCTCCCGCGCCTCATCGTCCTATCAAAGCGAGTGAATAAGCATTGTTTTTGGCGAAAAATAACGGTACATTGCTGTGGAGCATGAATATGCGACATCACAACAACTGCCACGGCTACTGTCAATGCTGCCGTTGGAGGTGAAGTTCGCCGTGGGTGGGTGGGCGCAGCGCCCGAGCAGCACATTCCTTTAATGTTGTTGTTGTTGTTGGTGATGTGTTATTGCTTTCATACCGCAATTGAAATATCCACTGCTCGTTGCTAGTCTCGTCGTTGGATATTTCCATGCTTTAGCTTCCTTTGCCTCTCCTAGCGCCTCATCGTTCGGCAGAATAATGGTTGAAAGCACCGCTGCCGCCACCGCTGCTGCTGTCGGCCTCATCGTGCTCTCGTTGTGTCCTTTTGTGCGCGCCTTGACGCCGAACTTCGGCATTCACCGTATTTTGCATTTGCTGAGGCGAAACGCTCGTGCGCTCGGAAAATTCACCAAAATTTTCATTTTCAGTTTTTCTCCGACTGTTTAGGGCGGTTCCGCAGGCAGCAGGCTGAAGAAAAGTGTGCGCAGTGCAGTGTGCAGAAAAAAAGAATTTAAATATGTGTAAGGAATGAAAAATGAAAAATATGAAATTTACAAAAAGTGCAAAATGTGTGCAGAGTGCAAAGTGTTCTTGAATAATTTTGTAGAGCAAATATTTACAAAGAAATTGCAAACATTAAATTGCACTGCCGTGAAAATTCGCAGTGAGAAATTGGCTGGAGGTGAGCAAAGTGAATATTGAATGCGAAGCCAGTGCGTGAGAAAAGCCAATAAAGTGGATTCAAGGTGCCTGCTGCTGGAAAATTTTACAAAATCCAAAATGCGGTGGAATTTTCCTTTGTCTGTTGGAATGCCTGCTTGGACACAATGATATAAACGGGGAGCTTGCAGGCGGGGGGTCAGCCAGATTTTGTGGCTAAAAAACGCTTGTAAACGCTTCACTAATTGCCAAAAAGTATCGATACATACCCGGTTACACAAACGTTAGCAAAGGCAGTCACTTAGCCAGCTAGCCATCCAGCCATCCAGCCAGCCATTCAGTGAGGCAGCTTTCCCAGTCTACCAATAATTCAGTTCTTTTTTGGGTGCCAATGAAATTTTCGGGGACTGCTCGCGCACGCGACATAATCGCAGGGGAGGAGTGTGCGAGCTGCCAGTGTTCAAGAGAGCGACGTAAAGACGCAGGCTAAATAGCCAGCCATTTAGTTTGTCAGTCAATTTGGCAGACATTGTGTCGTATGTGGCTTAGGACTGCCGTTATTCAGGTGCCTCTTTGCCGTCGTCGCATTTGGTGCGCGGGCTGGTGCGGGCTGGTGCGCTTTGGCGAGCAAGCGAGTGCCGCGCATTCCAAGGCAGAATGTCCTGCGCTAAATCTCGCCTTAGTGGCTCAGAAGCTCATGCAAACACACGCACACACACACACACACACACACATGCGTATGCCAAAAATTTTCCTGTTCAAACTTACCTACATACATAAGTACATTCCTTTGTAGGTATTTAGGTGCATGTGTACGGGCATTTGGGACTCGCCTGCGCTTGCCGTTTCTCTTGCCGCCCAGCGTCGTTATGTCAATTCAATGAGTTGTAAACTCCGTCTCGTGCAAATCGTTCCCCTTTTTACCTTTCTCTTTTTTTTTTTGTTTAACGTGCTTTCGCCGTTTGGCCTCTACTTTGGCTGCTACTGCGCTACATTTAACAGTTGTTTTTCATTACCTCCCACCACCACTCTCAGCTGCTCTCTCCTATCCCTCCTCTTGCTTGAATAACTTTGTTTTTTTCCTGGCTTTCAATGAAAAATTTCTCGTTTACCACTCGCCACAGCGAGCTTCGTAGCCTTCGTCCGCGTCATAGCATAGCATAGAAAGTCGCTTTGTCTACCACAGCCACAGAGTTGATTTTTCTTTCTTTCATTTTAAATTATTTACAGTTGAGTCTGCCTATGTGTGAGTGAGTTATTGACATTTAAAAAATGGACTGACTGAGGTAAAAGTTTTAAATTTTTTTTGTAATTTTTTTTTAAATTTCTTTAAAGTCCTTTCATTGGCCAACACAAAAACATTCAACGTTGGTTAGAGTTGTGTATGTAATCCTACGAAGAGGAGGTGTAACTTATAATTTATTTATTTTTAATGTTTACTGGTCTTGGAAAGGTGCACTGGAAAATAAAGGGTGTGATCAGCGTAAAAATCAGAAAGCTTAGAAAAATCTATGATAACCTTTGTTTTCATTTTAATTCTCCGTAAAACCTGATTATTTTATTTCTGCATCCAATATTATGTACGCTTTATTTGTACGAAATTATTTTAAAAGCTTATTGAGAATTGTAGTTTTGTATTTTGGTCGTACGAAATGTCATGCACTTAGCTAGAAAGCCAAGATGTGCCTAAAAATATGCAACTTTACAAAATGGGACATGCATTAATAACTCAGATGGTTGTATGTAGATGATTAAATATAGTGATCTATGGATAGGTAATGAAAAGCAGGGCTACGTGGCTACAGATAGCGAAATAAGCTACGAGAAATTAATGTCTAGAGCCTAATTATATTTGCTTTGCTGCATCCACTTTCTGCAGCTTTATTTATTTTACTTATTATTATTGTAATACAAACACAACAACCATGAGTTATATTCCGAGTGTTTGATACTTAATTAATATATAATATTTAACCAAATTGAACAATATTGAAATTACCTATGGATAGGAACGTTATTTTATACGCAAATACATAAAAGACTTACACAACTAGAGGATAATAATAACATTAAAAATTACAAATTATTTGGGAGAAATTACTAACTAACTGACAGATGATATATCTACACTCTTGCATAATCATTCTGTAAAGAATCGCATTAGTTCTCTTCTGGGGCCTATTTCATAAAAGTGATAGATGCGACAATTGCCGATTTTTCTATAAAATTTCACTGCCAGAATTGTTGGCGACATTTTTTATGTTTCATATAAGTTTGTAGGCAACTGTGCTGACAATTGTCACTCTGACAAAATTGTCGCTACAATGGCGACAAAACCAAATAGCTCCGTCGGAAAGCTTTTAGAGGAGAGTTTTGTAAATTTATTTATATGGTAATTGCGCGCATTCCATTGCTTTTCAATAATTTGAATATTTATTAAAACTAAAATAATGCAAATGCAATTGTTACATATTATTTACATATAAATTTCATATGACTGGCGACAATTTTGTCAACGACAATTTTAAACTCCGACAATGACAATTTGTCACTTTTCCATTGGAATTTCTCATGGAATTTAAGAGGAGGTGACAATTGTTTTACCGAAACAAAACACCCATCAAATTGTCGAATTGTCACCGACAACCTGGAAATTGCCGGTCCTGTCGTTACAAAATTATCACTGTCGCTTTATGAAATAGGCCCCTGAGGTGCAATTTGCTTTTTACGCCCCTGATCTCCAAAGGTAAATTATTCCACAGACGGACTGCATACACAAAAACTGACGCTCAGATATTTTGGAATTTAAGGACGTATAAAGCAATTGCGAAGAACGCGCTGATCGAGTTGCTTCAAACCGTTCGTAGAGGTAAAAAGGACCCTGATTTACCAACATTTTATGTAGTTCTTTTAGAGCCCTGAGTTTCAAATAGTTAATAAACGAGATTGAATATATTTGTATAGCATGTTCGGAGATGTGATCTCTGCACTTAATACCAGAAATATATCGGGCAATATTATTAAATAAGACATTGAGCTTTCTGTTGCACGTATTTAGTATCGTAATTAGCATACAGTTCGCAACCATAAATCATAGTTGGAAGCAAATATGTCTTGGCTAAAAGCAGTCTGATTTTAATTGGTGTAAAGTACTGGGTAGTCCATAAGGAGCGCAACATTTCATACACCAATGTGGCTCCTCCATGTCAATGATCTGTTGAAAGTCACGCCCAGCTTTCAATAATGCTTTGAATGCCTTTAAAGCTTCTAGACTCTCGTAGCTCGGTAGCGTGTTGGAGTTCATTTAATGAATAACACTTCGAAAATCATATAGGGCATGTGGAACGGAGCTGGAGCTGCACGCAGACAAAGTGGACACAATATATTTTACAAGAAGATAAAGGTCCCACTGTGGATACCCCAGAAGGTAGTTAACATCGAAAGAGATTCCGCCGAGGAAAAAGTAAGGAAGGTCAGTATCGCCCTACTTATGCATTTTTGCTGCACGGCAGTATTCTGTCGGTCTGAATTAGGGTGATTGGTTCGGTTTTTTCAAATCGGTTTCCACCATTTTTTTTGAATATCTTTGGGCGGCTTTTTGGAAATGTTGATTTTTCAAATATCGAATAAACCGTTTTATTTTCATTTCATACAAATCTTGATCTCTCAATAAAAGTTTTCAGTTTTTCGAAGTTTTCAAGCCTTTTTCCAGTTTAAGGAAACCCCTAAATAGTACATTCTAGGTTATTTGGGGATGAAGAGTATATCACAGGGGTGGGCAAGGCCGCGGCCGAAAAGAGCCACATTTAAATTCTAAATGCTACAAAGAGTAAAAAAAAGATGAAATATTCTTTTTTTAAGATCATGTATAAAAAGACGTAGTTTAGCTTCAAAACTTAAAATAATTTGCGATAAATCCCAAACATTTTTATTCTTTCCTTGCAGAGACAAATTTAAGTTTTGCAAATGATCCATCATATCGATAAAGAACAATAAGCCAGAAAGCGAATTTTCATTCTCCATTTGCGGGTAATGTTCCGATCTCAATTTGCGTATGTGTATATAAAAATAATAAAATAAAAGAAAAAACAACTCAATGGAAAAGAATGACCAGCAAATAAATATGTATTTTAAAAAGTAAAAAGAGCCAAAATGTTCTAAGCAAAGAGAAAGTAAAAAGATGGTAGTAGGCGCATCTAAGCACCCGGCTACGGCGGCAAGAGCATTTCTAAAATTCCCAAGAAGTCAGAAAAAATGCAGTAAAGTATTAAAACAAAAAATTATAAAATAAAACCAAGCGTAATTTTTTCACTGATTTTTATTTGTTTTATTTTTGATCTAAAGAAAATTTTGAACTCACTTGAACTGCTTTGCTCTTTTCTGAATAAAAGTTATCTTACCGTTAATAGTTTTATTGCAAATTTTGATCATGACCTCATACCAACATAAGCATTTTCACTGTGCGAAAACTATATAAAATGAAACCGGTTTATCCGGTTTTTTCTTAATTTCAAAATCAGGAACTGGGTTTTTTTCAAATTGCAATTTTTCGAATAACTCGAAAACCGGCTTAGGAAAAAAGGTGAAAAAGCGAACACCCTAGTCTGAATTTATAACATTTTTGTGTGGAAGAAAGTCTTCGTTCCGCAGACCAATAGAAAAATTTTAGCTTTTGGAGGTACTTTGCATAACGGGGTTACTAAGAACCCTACCAGCGGTTGACAGAAGGAATCCTTAGTCTGTCGTCCATCGATCTTCATATTTGCGGAGGGGAAATCAACTGTAGAATCTTCGGTGAAGACTCAATTGAGAAAAGGGGCCGAGGGAGCCGGGACTTTGTGGCATCTCCTTTTAATTGGGAAAGAAGGTTTCAGGTAACGATTGATGAAGAGAAATGACGCAAGGGAATGGAATCCTTAATAATAATAGTAATTCACTACCAGGAATAGAAGTTAAGACTACCAGTAAGGTGAAATAGCCATGAGGCATCATCATCCACCGCATATATAGTTTATACCACAAAAAGGCCTTTCATAGCAGGGAAGCAATTGCAAGGTAAAAGGCAAAAGAATAGCAAATGCGACTGCCAAGAGAACCGCTCAATCCGACATGGTATAAGACATCGGAAAAAGTAGTATTGAAATCAATAGTAAAATTCGCAAAAATCTTTGTTATTTCGTAACTGATTTGCATTTCAACTCGCAGCTGGTCCCGCTAGTGGTAAAACGATGTACGTATGTGTTTTCTGCCAGCATAACCTAATCAAACCTAACCTAAATAATATATATAAAATTTTTCTATATAAATTGTTGGTGGGGTTAGAAATATTGCTGTAAAGCCAATATATGTTTAATACTCTACGTGAGCCTCTAAGCTTTAGTTTGCCAGACCTCTATGTGAAAATTTCACGCTTCCAACACCAGTTCAGTCCAATCAAATAAGTTAAGGATATCAGCCATTGGCAGCTTTAACAAAAATATTTCACATCACGTTTGAGAAGTTCCTACATACATACATATGTGAAATAGCATCCAAAAGTCAGAGTAGAGTGTTGTCGACTTGTTATTATACCCTCGCAGCAGGCAGAACAAAATTCATACTCACGGCTCTCATATTTTCAGTATAGCCTAATTCGAGGCACAGCAAAATTGACAAAATAAAAACATTGTAGTGAAGAAAGAGAAACAATAAAAAAGTATGAACACATAAGTAAAAAAGACTTCATCAAAACGCCTGTATGTATAATTATAAAGCAGTACAGTTATTTAAAGTGATAAAAAAAAAAAACACACAGAACAAGCCAGTGTATTCGACGATTAAAATTCTAAAACTGTAACCACAACGAATTGACGAAGTAAAAACAAGATAAAACAAGTGCAAAAATCAAATTAAACAAAAACAACAAAAAATATTATAAAACAGCTGTGAAAACGTTAAGTTGCTATCCTAACCGAAAAGCAAGTCAGCCCGTTTAACATAGCGCAGTAAACATACTCACACATTCATATGTACTTAAGTATGCATTCGAACGTACATACGTATATAGTCCCGTTGCGAAAATCCTCCTAAGTAATCTCCGATTTGTTATGGCTACCCGTTTCAAGTACTCGAATCCGCATACATAAACACCAGGTTTATTCGTGACAACGTTACATTTTTTATAAGCCACGTCCACGCGTCTGCATTTGGTGCCTTTGCGTTATTGTTATTAGTGCGTGCGTGTTGTGCGCGCAGGAATAAAAAAAAGGAAAAACAAAAACTGATTACAAAAAAAGTAATACAAAATTAAACTTTGAAGTGTGCAAAATTAAGCTTACGAAGAAGAAATGAAAAACATTTTGAACCTAATTGATCGGCAGTAATTACTATATACCACGGTAGCTGTGCAAGCGAGGGCTACGCCGTCATAACGGTAAGTCGTAACAAAGATTTCAATAAATTCTTAAGGATCATAGAAATATGACATGTCTTATATACACATACATACATATGTACATCTACGGGAACCTAGACCTAAAGGGAGTTAACTAAAAAAAAAATTTAGGACGATTTTTTGCATAAATTAATTCANCAAACATTGTTGCAAACATCACTTCGAAGAAGAATTTCGGACTACACAGTTGCTTTCTATCTATTCTATATGATCAAATTAATAAAATAAAATTCGTTGCACTGAGGGCAGAAGAAACTTTCCATGCTTCAAACCCGTTTTATATTCTTCTGTTTTCCCCATGAGTTTACACTAGAATACAGACAAGCAACTTGCTGTTACGACTTTTGTATGAAACACAGCATGTCGACATACATATGTATGTCGATACCTGAGTGGAAGATCGACCTATCTCGGCAGCCAGTTCCGAAACGCCTTATCTTAGAAAACTTTTCAAGAATGCCGTTTAGATGGAACTTTGCAAAATTTTTATAATTTTTCCACAAAGTTTGAAATTTAGATTAATATGGTTTTTGTTAGATAAAAGCTCCACTTAAAAAAATGAGAAAAAATAGCATTAAACAAACAAAAGAAAAATATGTAGTTAAATCTTGGTAAAATGTTGCGACCCTATCAATTTGACCGACACTATGATTATATTTTCGATTTCGTTATACATAAAATATATAATAAACTATACTGAAACTGAGGTCTGCTACATTTTTTTTAAACCTACTACATTTTTTAGGATTTACCACACAGATATTTTTTTTTAAGTCCGATCACTGATGCCACTTACAAATCTTATCAAAAGAGAACGTTTTCAAATATAGGTGAATGGCGGGTTCGTGGTGGGAGTGAAGGATGCGGGTTTTATTACACGCGTACCGGAAAAAATGGTGCGAAGATATTAGAAACAAAATTATATAAATGAATATTTCCATTAAAGCACCATCTACCGGGTCCATATTTTGTAAAAATATATTGTAATACAAATCGAAAATTTTAACGAAATCGGTCAATGAATACGCGTTTTCAAATTATATCGACTCCGGGTAAACTTTTTGCAATCATATACTACCTTCCCCTAAATCGCCCAAATTACGCACTGTGCGGAGTGCTTCGCAGCGCATATTTTTTACGCTCAGTATCAAAAACGACAAATATTATATTAACTAAGATATTGAATTATTAAATTTTTCTCGAATTCGGAATTTTCATTAGTAAGTGGAAAAAAATATGTAGACATATTTGCAAAAAATAAAACTGCCTGATGGCATTGAAGACGAATTATTTTGGAAATTAATCTTTAAAGTCCTATTCGGCTCAAATTCGGGGACATATACAAGGACTTTGAATAAAATTTGGAAGAATTCTACAAATTTTTATCAAAGTCTCAAACTTTCTATTAAAAGTCTTTGGTCAACAAACATGTCCTTCACTTGGACGAAAATTGGAAGGCCTATAAAATTGCATACCTGATAAATTTGTAAACATTTTGATTAAAAACTTCGAAATTCTGATGAACATTTGTAAAAATTTTATAAATTTTGTACACAGTTTGAAACTTGGACTTATTAGGTTTTTGTTTTTTATATGAGCATTTAAATAAAAACTTACACGGTAGGAACACTAAAATGACACAAAAAATGCCGAGATTCGTAAACTTAGTTTTGGGTCGTAGATTACGGTTCTGTATACCCTTCTTTTAGATCCGGTAATATATATTTTTAACCGTCTTCACAAACAGAAGAGAAGGTTATCAACTCGTCGGAATATATATTTTTTTATGTATGTTACCGCACAACTTTGGACAACGTTAACCGATTTCAATAATTCCTCACAGGTGGTCCCATAATAATTTGGTTTAAATCCGATCATTGGCTCATGAAAAAATTAACGATAATCTTGAATTTTTATATAAGACTTGAGGCCGGTTTTGTTTTTTGCTTAAAAATTACTAGTTTCATTTTAAGTTTGCATTGCGAAAAAAAACCAATTCGTACATGGCATATAAGTAACATTCATTCCTGCTCATATTTCATACAAAAATTTATTACGCATTTTCATTTGACCATTCACATTTTTTTTTATTTATACACCGACTTTCTCCATTTGTAGGTTTGATTTTGGAGAAGAACCGGCTTCAATGTAAATTAAAGATTGATTTTTTTTTTATAAAAATGAAAAACGTCAGCCTAGAAAAACAGGATATAGATTCGTAATCTAGGACTCAAAATGATGTTTACGTGTTTCGGCATTTTTTTTTTATGGGTCATTGCAAAACTGGAGATTTTCCCTACAGCCCTATCCAAAAATATTGTGGGTATTTACAAAAATCAGCGTCCTAATAAGAAATCAATTTGAAAGAAAGGTCCCGAGTGGCATAAAAACGACAATGAATGAATGCTCGGCCACTATAGGTGCACAAATATTTAGAGGATTCTAATTTGAAGTTAGCGCCTTTGATATGCAAATATATGTAGACTGTCTCGCTGCTACCGGGGGCTGTGACTAACTCGATATACCTATCACTGGAAACTTATGGACTATAATGTGTTCCTTTATATGCCGAACATAGGTCAAATAGGTTAGACGGGTCTGCTCTTATTAAGAAATTTACGATGAGAAATATTTAAGATTTCAACAAACCTATGTATCTACAAAGGTTATGGAAAGATACGGTGCTGAAACTATCCAAGTCTCCCAAGAAATTCCTAGCAAGAAATCTGAAACCCATTCTTCCGACTGCGCAATATTCAATCAATAGTATGTTCTCTACAGAATCCTTGCATTTCTTATATGCCATAGAAACTATATGTTCGGTTCAGAATACCTAGTTAGTATCCTTATTTCCGTGTCAAAATCATGCCCCAGCACTCAGTATGGATTGAAATGGTAGATTTCGTCGACGCTCCTGAAGATTTATTTTTATCTACATAGTAAGTAGTAGGCAACGCAAAAAAGTTAAAAGTTAGCCATCTCAAAAGCCTCAAACTCTATTTTAAGGAAAATGTGTTGATATACCTATTTATTGTTACTAGGCTTCAACCTCTCAAATTAAGTTGACTTAAGATGAGTTGAGGTCAGATCTGTTGCAGTGAACTAAATTGAAGTGGTTTGAGGTGACGTCAGCTAAGGTAAGTTTAGATGAATTAGCTGAGGTGAGGTGAATTGAGTAGAGGTGTGATAAGGTAAGTTGATGTAAGGTGAGCTGAAGTAAGGTGAGGTGAGTTGGGGTGCCACTAAGCGGAGGTTCTACCTCTGATTTGTGTTAACCGGAAATTGAACAAACGGCCCTATATCTTATTCTTAAACCGCTCTTAGCACGTTTCATTAACCCTTCTGTGACATTCTTGGTACAGTTGTACCAATTCGGATTTTGAAACCGAATTTTTGATATTTCATCTACAGAGCTGAAACTTTATACTTATACAAGTGTATTTAAGAATGATTTTACATAACTTTTTAAGTGTTTCCATAACTCGATTGTCGGTGGGAGTGGCTAAGGTACATCTATGCCTCCATTGAACAGAAATTTTTATTAGTATTTACTTATCTCCAGAGTAGAAACTTCATGTTATCCTCATGTGTAGATTTAAGAATGAATTAGTGGTATTTTTTATAAGTTTGGATAACTTGTGTGTAGAAGGGTTTGGCTAACATATACCTATACCTTCATTAGCCTCCTTGATACATATGTATATACTTTTGTTACATTAAAAACTAGTAATATTAAAATATACATGTGTATACGATGACAGGTAACAAGATCAACGGGAATAAGGTCAATTGACACTATTTCGCATACTGGTGTGAAATAAAGTCCATTGACATTATTACATTTTCAAAACGGTGTATACTCTAAAATGCATACAGAAAAATAGAATATTTGATATTTCAAACATAATGAAAAATAGTTTCACAGTGACATAGTGACAGGATCAACACGCACATGATGGATAACATGATACCAAACTCGTTATATGCATGCATTCAAAAAAATAGCGAAAGGGTAGCTAACTAGGAGTATACAAATGTTGAAAGACTGAAATAATGTGTAAAATTAAGCAACTGTTAGATTAAAAAATCCTTACTTTTGACCACGGAATTGGGCCTTAGATTGCCTTTACTTACTTACTTGCTTACTTTTTATTTCTATAACTAATTTACCAAGTTTGGGAAGAAACAAAAAGTAGCTCCAAGCATTTTCGTTTTATCTGGCCCGTTAAGTAAGTTGCTTAATTTAAAAGGGATTTTTTAATTTTTTTGAACGAATTTGGTAAATTTTATTTGACGGGCGCGGCAACACTCGTTCCAAACTAAATAGTATTTATGCTTGAAATACAATACCGGCGAACGGCAAACTTCGCCGAATTG